CGGATCCCATAAGAAGATTATAAGAAATTTACAAAAACGTGGTTTGTTGTGGCAAACATTAAATTTGTAGGACTTCAGGTGAATACGGAGAAAACCAAACTGTAAGAAATGGTACAAAATGAAAGTACATTTATCTTATTACGTGGGACTTCTCATAGTTACATGTACACGTAAGCTTCCGCGGCTCGATTTAATGACTTCTTGGCTGTCTAGGTGACGCCGTGCCGTCGGCTGAGAGGCCGACGTTTCGCCTGTCATATCGCACGCTTCCTCAGGGTAGTGACCAAACAGTAGTGTACCCAGTCATTACCCTTAATACTCTACGCTGAAGAGCAGCTTAGGGTAATATTTTATGTGCATTTTGCTGCATATTAGCAAAACGCCGTACAAAATGAGAGCTGGGCTTAATTCTAACTATTCGCACCATCCATATCCTAAATTGAATGTAATAGTGCGAAAGCATATTTTATTGTAATGTACCACATTCTTTAGAATTACAAGGAACATACCTATATTATGATTAAATACGTTATTTTCATTCCAATTTTCCTAGCGTTTTTAATATTTCGAATGCCGAAAAATATGTGCTTCTCACGTTTAGTGAGTACCCGATGCGATACAAATCTTGTTTTTCAGCATTACTTGTAATCTATGGAAGCGTAGTCGGCAAACGCAAAACTAGGCCGTTGGACATGTAAAACGATTTTCTCTAACGGATCTGCAAAAGAAGAAATTTGTCAACGCTGCGAAACCTACGGATTCAAAAAAGTCACCGAGGTGCCAACTTTTCTGTGAACCGGCAACTCTAGCGTGAACATAGTATGTTAGAGACCAAAATCTGCGCGTTTACAATTTTTGAAGAAATGAGAAAGGGAAAAAATACGAATGACGTTGAGTAAAACTATTACAATTTGTATGTAAGTTTTTCCATTATAATGGCAGATAACTAATGCTATTTGTTTGAAGCGAAGTGTACACTGAGAAAAAAAGCGAACCTTTTATTTCCACTGAATATTTTCTGTTATATCAATGTTAACAGAACAACTTTCATTACAAATGTATAATAAACACGCAAATATATGCACAGAACTGTTACAGCCATTTTCTAAGTGTATGTGAATTAAAATGTTAAAATAGATTTTTTATTTTTTATTTCTTAACTGCAGCTCAGCTCTAAAACATTCACGTTTTGTTTTAAGAAGACCTTTCCAGATTTTTTTCAAATCTATTTGGAGCTGAGAAAATATTGAAAAATGTTTTTCGGATAGTACAAATTATTTTGTTTTTTCCATAGTTTTTCAATTAGATAAAATAGTTTAGTTGACGGAAACATTAAAATAAAATAAATTCTGGCTTTAGAGGGGTGTGTGGGACGGAGGCTAAGAAATCTTTCAAAAACAATATGTTTAGGTCTATGTTAGAATTATAGCGTTACTTCCGTTTGCCATTTGCTTTAGGGGAACATTTTATCATATTTTGTGCCCTTTGCCACCCCTCCAATAAAAGATCCGAAATACCGGTTCTGCATTCCCCCATTTCTATCTTTTCTTTGGAAATTTTTTCACTTCTAAAAATGCGTCGCTAACATCATACTTGAAATAGACATGGTCGTCTGAACTCGATTCCTTGGTTATTAACAATTTTTTATTGAGGCTGCCTACACTAGGAAGCCATGCTCTGCCCCTTTCGTGTCTTCTTTTCTTCTCTCACAGCCAATTCTTCAAATTTCAATTTTTCAGAGGTATCTGTAAGAGTCTACTCGGCGTTCTATAAATCCTTCTCTTCTTCGGATGGATATTAGGAAATCACATTTTCTCAGGAGTGATCACTGAAGTTGAAATTCAGTCTATACTCTTAACTCGCAACCCATATCTGAGAACACAACCATTTGTTTTGGCAACGCGTGAATTATCTTTGGCTTCCCTTTCGCTTTTAGCGATCCACGCAGTCCGTCGCAGTAGCGTGCCCGCAGATTTTGGGATGGGGAAAAGGGGGCTATTTTAGTTGGAAAAAAGAAAAAGCACTTCTTCTGTTCGAGGGCGTTGATTTTTCGAGGTTCATTGACGTTTCTTTCATGATCGTAGGAACTCCCGTTTAGGAAAGAAGAATAGCTTCGATCATTTTGACGAAGGATAAACGTGTAGTTTTGGTGAACTTCAGCACTGAATCATTTATTGCGTCAAGAACAGTTTCAAGAAAAATTTCCAGAAACGCCAGTACTCAACAAGTTAATTTGTAGATTAATCCAGTGCTTCAGGGACAACAGGGACGTTATAGATAGGAAGCGGAGTCGCAGTGCCAGTTTTAAAGGAAAAATTTAAAATTCAGGAGGTTTTGGAGTACTCTCCTGAGACGTCTCTGTCGAAATCAATGCAATGCTTATCTCAGCAGTGCGTATGTTGCGACGAAGAAATTAAAAATGTGCTCTTACAAGTGGTGTACCGTTCAAGAACTAAAAACACCAGGCCGGGATGCGTGTTTGCATTTCTGCCGTTGGTTCAGGAGATCTATTCAAATAGGGATTCACGTTCTTAACATATTTTTTTAGTTTTGAAGCTTGGTTTCCCAACGACGGAAATGTAAACAAACATAATTGTCAGTTGTGGTGCACATTGAAACCAAATACACCCTTCAAAAACCTCATTCTTCGAAAGTCGAGATTTGGTGTGCCATATCTTGTCGTCGAATTATCGGACCAATTTTTTTCACGGAGACGATTACTTCGGAAAAGTATAAATATAGTACAAAACTTTGTATCTCTTTTAGAAGACGAGAGGTACTGCTAGATGCAGTAAGGTGGTGCCCCATGTCCCACGACGAAAAATAGTATGAATTTCTTGGTGGAATTTTTCGGAGGACGAATTGCTTCAAAAGGTCTTGTGTTCACCTCCTTCGCCAGATCTTACTAAATTAGACTTTTTTCTGTGGGATTTATGCAAATAAACTTCTCTTCATTTACGATGCAACATCTCGGAGTCTATTAAGCAAATTGACGAAGTCACTTATTAATGTGATGCAGCCACTGTACTTAAAAGAATAAACCCCTATCTCTTGACAAATGTTCACATTGAGAATTTACTCGAAGGACAGTTTGTCATTTTAACAAAATATTTTATTGTTCATTACTTATTGTCAATAATGATAAAATTACTACCTATGAATATTTACTAATATTTTTATTATTTTATTAAGATTTTCCAATTTGTATAATTTTCGGGTTCCATAATAATTATATTATTGTTATAAATAATGAAGAGCTTGATGGTGATTTTTTATGAGATATCTTTCTGATTTCCCTGAGCAGGCTTTCATTAAATAGTAATTATTGACATTTCTGTTAATAGATCGATAAATCAGTTATAACTTCCCTCCACATCTTCAGTACCACAGTTCTGTTTCTTAAGCATTAGTGGAAAGAATCGCCTAAAGAGAGGTTTTCTTTGCTCGCTCATGCCTCTGCCCACCCTGCACAGAGCGAAAATATTCTGGTGTGAGACCCAGATTGAGGCAACTTATGACCTGATGCTCACTTCCTCCTCTGCGGTCTCGACATGCCAGTCACGTGGTTGCCAAATTGCCAAAACAAGAACTTGTGCTACCAGTCATTGGTTGTGAGTTAAGCTAAGATCCTGTTTTGTAGGTTTAAATTGATGTTGCTGGAAGCCAGAGGTATGGTAAACATTTCAGATGATGGCATCTCAGAATGCTGTGAGATGGAGGTGGTTAATTCTGTAACTATATCATTCTGATGGTGATGGTGCAGGAGCAAAAGCTGGACTTTATATTCAATATTCATTGGTTACTACACCGCCAAGGAAATCTGCAAGGCAAGTTGTAATAGCCTCTCTTTTAAAGGGATCATCACACACTCTTATAAAAACCAGCCATTTTATTTTATGATGTTAAGGATATTGGAAAGCTTATTCCAATAATTTTAGGGATATCACATTGCCATTCCAGGACCATCCACTGCTGTGAGGCAGTATAAGAAGCTTTCTGAAATAGTTCACTCACAGATATCCAAGAGTTAGAGACTGACTAATATGAGGTGGCATCACACCATTATCTTTAGCTCTCTGTAGAGCAGTCACAGAAACACAGGACTCGTGGTTGTCAATTAAAAGCAAAACTATGGTTTAATGCACAGTGGCTGTGCTTGATAAAATGGTCAAGAAACTGAATGAAATTCTCTAGTCATCCATTCTGAATGCTTCTAGAGACACCAACTGCCAAAGTTCCTGGGGGTGCACCCTATACCTTGTATCCTTTCACATCGAAAACACGAAGAAAGGTGGAATAAAACTCTAATTAGCATTAACAGCACTACATACCATCACCAGAGTCCCCCTTTCCTGTGACGTGACCTAACCCAGCTATTTTTCTCCTCAAATTACAGTTATCTGCGCGGGTTTATGAGCTGCGAGCAATTTCAACTGCATTCCAGATGTTTTGTGCTTTAAATTATTTGCCCAGTAGTACTTTCTCAAGTTTATCATGGACCTGCTTAACTATGCCCTTAGTAAAAATTTTACATCTATCAATACTTATAGCTTCTGGTAGACGAATGGAAAGATCTTTACTACCGTTTAAGAAACCTCTCAGCCAGTCACAACCTGCCATTTTATTTTCATCTGATGATGTGCATAGATATTTCTTAGTCTTTTTTTCTAGCAAATTTATAAGCTGATTTCCAACACTAGAGTGTTCTAAGCCTGCGTTGCACTTCTGATGCTTGTTAACATTATTCCTCCATTGTAAAAATTTGTTTTACTCTAGTTTGGTTGAAAAACTTATCTTTTTGCTATTTGTACTTTACAATATACTTTCTTAGTGTAATTTTATCTAGTTTATATTTAGATACAGCACTTCTTAATCTCATATTGCTTTCTACAACCTCCTTCACTGCTAACTTCATTACATATGGATGCTTTTTTTATTTTCCACCTGCTTTCTTTTTGTTTACAAAACAAAGGCATCTGAAACCAAAATTAAAATTATGTATAAATATTAGACCCAAGTTTAATTTATAACAAAATCACTGATATAATATAAATAACAAAGATAAGTAGGGGATATATGATAATGAATCATTCCGCCCCTATTGGCGTGTATCATGTATCCTCTGGTCGCATGGCTAAAGGTTTTGTTGATCAAATGAAAAATTATGACTAATAAAGACAAGACAGAACCATATTCACAAAACTAAAAAACATGTAATTCCAATTCACCGAATATCTTTTACTAACAACTGAAATAAAATATTACAATTACAACAATATGTTTTTAAAATACTTAACCTTTAGAGTTCCTCTTCAAAATATGTGCATTCCAAGCAGTAGGAAATGACATCACACAACGAAACAGGAAGTAACAATGAAATTATATGAATTACAAATTAATGCTGCCAATAATGAAAGAGAAATTTCATGAGTATCATACATCCGTGTATCAAAGACCACCAGTCTCCCGTTGTTCAGAAACACAGAAAGTTAATATATTTGATGACCAACTAATCAAAAATTTCAAAATAATTAAATATTTAAGAAAAAACATTCTAATATATAATTATTTAGTGTTCACGAGTCTACTAGGATGGTATAAATTCACAAAGTTTATTGTTAATTTGGCATATAAAAAATTATTTTACTGTCCTTCATTAGCCCAAAACTGAGTTGGGAAAGGAATATTACAAAGATGCTCCTGAATTGGCAGGTATGAAGCTGTGAGCATATGTTTTCCAATCTCAGACCATGAGCACATTTTTTCCAACCACTCCCTCTCCAACTGCTACCACCATCATTTCCGAGTCTGCTCTAGTTTTATGTTTATTGTCCAAGTACATTATTGAATTCAAAAGTAGCTGTGACTTAACTTCAGCTTATTTAATCTGTGTGCACTTGTTCACCTTCAACATACTATTACCAAGTTGCCAGCTTAAATTAAAATTCCATGGATGTTCACACTTTCTTTGGTATGATCCCAATTTGTACATGCCAAATGTACCAACACAAAGCTCATCAACATCAAGAAACGCAACACAAATAATAAAAGAAAATGAAAAAATATGTGCACGGGAGGCATTTAAATGTCTTTATATTTTAAAGATAATAAAGAACCATATATACATAAAAATATGTATTTGTACATTATTGATTTGAAAGTCACATACACATCATTAACGATAATACGCACTAAGTTTTTCATTGCATATTATTAAGTTTGGAAATTTTAAACAATAAAATACTTTACAAACAAATGCATTGTTCCCTACAAAATTTTACTTTATCCAATGAATTAGATTCGAGAAAATTGGCGACTATCATTATGCTTTTTCCTTTGTGGCTGGGAATATATCTTGTTCTTGAATCGAGGATCTGAACGGTTCAAATTCTTGAAAGATCCATAACCTCCACCTCCAAGTCGTTTTCGAGGACGGTCCTTCTTACTGCTATGAACATCTGAGAAGCTAAGGAGTTTTTCTTTTTAGGTGACAATTACAACAAATTACACTTTAAAAATACAACACTCTAAGACCACATGATAATATTCCATTTAATACTTGGTATCACATTACTTTTAATAAGATCAAATAATAGTAAATTATTATACAACACATTATCTATAAGAGGAAAGTATTACTTCACGAGCAACAAAAAACACGAAAGAAGTTTGCCGTAGAGACCTAACCCAAGTACATGCAAACAATTTTATAATCTGCAGGTGACAAAGAGATACTCTCGTCATCAGTGTACATCCACTCACTCATTTAAAATATTGAAGAGATCCGAGAACATTAACTACTACATTGAAAGCCAATGGATTGTTTGACAGTTAACCATAAGTATCACCATTATTATCTTCATTTAAGCCAGCACAAGAAACACAACCTAACATGTCCAAGGCAAGTTGATACCGCACATACCAACTAAACCTAGTCACCAATTCCTTGGCCTCCTGTAGGATGACCTAGGTTTTCACATATGTTACGCTGATTATTATATCGATCATGCTCAGGTAAAGAGTCAAGTCATAAAAGTGTGTTGGAAGAAAAATGGAAAGAAAATTACATGTGATCATCATAAGTCAAGAACATTTTAAAGATATTAATTAAATTCACTACATTTTAATTGTAAATTTGATGTAGTTAATAGATTTTGCCACATATCTTATTAAGTAACAAAATTCCACCTTCAGAAACTTAATTTCCTTTACCACCGATATTGATATTGAACAACATTGATACTGTTCATTCAAATATGTGAGCGACTTTTGATGCCAAACCAAATTAAGGGGCATAAAGTCAGTTAAGTGTAGAAATTATTTGTATTAATTTTACAAATGCTGATAATATCTTTTTTTTAGCTGTTTCTCCCAATTGTTTCTGTCAATCTGCCCACAGAAGAATGTTCACATGATATCAATGCATTTATACAGACAGAATGCAAGAAAAGTACCCTATAAAACTTCCTTTTGATGAAATATTACTTACACATGAATAATTCTGTGAATAAAATTTTGCCTATTGTGAATAAAAGCTTGGAGAATGTAAACAACTTGGGCTATTTGAAATTTGTTATCGTCTGTCCTGTTTGATGACTTAAGCACTTCTGCCTTTCGCATAAATTCTTTAAATAGTATTTTTAATGACAATGTTGGAACAGTGTAAATCCAGTCATGAAAACTATCCTAGCCTTTAGCTTCATGCACTGAACCAACATTTTTAGACATCAACAGCTGATTCTTCAGCCTATGTTTGGCAGAACATATTTCTCTACGAGTTCTTCAGCAATGCTTAATTGTTTCAGAAGCTGTCGTAAACATTGTCTATTGGCCTAAATGGATCATATGGTCAATTTAGGAACTTTAATTAGAATACACAAGAGTTAAAAACAAAAAAAACCACAATATGTACATCTGTAGTAATTTAGCAAAAGGCTCAAAATTTAGATGGGACTTTAAAAACATCAAATATATGTGAAAAATTGCAAACAAAATTTTTTTACTGAAATCAAATGAGCAAAAGCAATATTGACAGTTCTAGATCCATTCTTAAAACATGGCTCTTGGGAACTATGATACATGTACCATTTCTGGAATCCTGGTACAATATGGGGGATTCCTAACTTCTATATAAAATATATACAGTGAAACTCCATTTATATGTTGTTTCCTGTAAGTCCTGGATAAATTCCTATACTGCCCATGCTAAATTACTTCAGATATGAGTTTTATGTTTATAATGAAAGTCCCATATATATAATATCCAAAACAACGTAGGTGACTAATAGGTGAGAACATTTCAATTATCGTAGAGGAACCTACGGAATTCTTGTGTTGAATTCAATACTCAGGCCATTGGCCAGTCGCCAGCAAGCCGCCACCCCTAACACTGCACACGCGACCCAAACGAGACTGAGGATGTCCACCGCAGATGTGAACGAAACCTTCGGCCCTTCAATGCCAACTGGACCACGGCCTACCAGCCCGGAAAATTTATCTTCTGTTGACTCTGTCCGTGAAAGCCTACGATGCTATGAAGCAAACAAGTTTTCTATAACTTGGGAGTGAAAATGTCTAGTTTTCAAATCTTTCTAACTTTCTTCTTTTGAAACTTTTATTCATCATTCAACTATTTATAGTTAAAATATTGCGAAGAGATTCTGGAGCTCAAGAAAACGTGTGCATAGAAAGTATTTCTTCTCCAAATGTCACATACAGATTTTAGTGTTCTTTGACTAAATAAATGAAAACTAATGTTGGTCCAAGAGCAGAGAGTGCCAATGTAAAAATATTGAGATTTTGTTTTGCTTGTAATATTGAATTTTAGTTATGCACTTTTCTCACTCATACATCATACGTTTTACTGTAATAACATATGTGTTTGCCTACAGCCATTTATGAATTTAACTTTATGCATCTCCAAAAAAAATCCACTCTCAATTTTGATATATACATTTTTTTAACATTAAAAATTAGGATCTTTGTATCTGTGTAACATGCCTAAGATCAAACACAATAGCCAATGACTTTGAAATAAGCTGTTTTGTTAACGAATGTTATAATTTGTTTCCCCACGGTTTTTAAATTTTAACTGCAACAAGTTTATTTATATTGTTTTGTATTTCATTTATCATTTTTGAGTTTTAATCCTGTGGACATTTCTGTTTATTCTATATATCAGTAGCATAAAGATTCCATAATATGCTGCCTAATCATTTGTAACAAATGCCTTAAAATTTGTACTAGTGAAATGGGTAATTAGTCGATGAAATAATATACAAAAACAAAAATTAAATTATAAGTATAGTTTCCCAAAAATTCAACATATTAATTTATGTATTTAAAACACTAAGAGTTTTTGTTTAGAAAGGAGTTTGGACTCTCTCCTTTACCAAATTTCTTGACTTTTACTTCAAATGAATGGTCGTGAACTCTGGATTTTATTGCTTGTTAACTGGATTTATGGTACAAAAACTAAATTTTTAAAAACATCTTCATTATCTTAACAGTTCTGGAATTGAATCTGCTGTCATTTTACCATTACATCAACTGCATGATGTTGATCTTTGACGTTTTGTTATGCAAGTTACAATTGATCTATCAAAAGCACCTGAAGTTTCTTAGCAGGAGTAAATGTGTTACAGTTAGTACAGCAACGATAGCAAAATTTTTGAAGTTTGAATTGTATGTGTTTTTAAATTCAAAGATTACAAGTGAATATAAATGCAATGTCTGACAAATTGTCTGATACACATGTTCTTTTACTAAAAATGTCCAGTGATTATAATTATTTGTGATATATTGTTTTTAATTTAAGGTGTATAGTAGAATTTCCACCTAAATATCTTTAAAATCCACAACATACAAAGTCTTGGTAGTGGAACCCCTCTTCACACTTTTCAAGGGACCAAGAAAAAACTAACACAAGGGGAAGTGTAAACAGAAGGAAAATCCTATTGCACGTAAAATAAAATACTCAAAATTTACAATCCAGTTTTAGGAAAAATTTTTCACATTAAAATTCAATAATTCTAGAATTTTTACTTTCTTGCACTTACAATAAGAAGAGAAACTTGTGTAATCATGCACCACAAAATGGCAATTTTTTGTCAGAAAAACTTATTGTCGAGCCCTGCTTACAAGAAAGTGGATACATCCTCTTGCCTTTTATTATTTCGTAAATTACTTCCCCTAACACGTATTGCCAGAATCCAAGGTTTGAGGAATCTTGATTCTGAAAAGTCGAGTTTATGGCAAAATGTCTGTCTCTCTGTTCATCCATGGGCAACGACAGTGTCTAAATCGTTCAACTGGTTTTCTCTGAAATTGATATCTCTTGATCGATCAGAATCTGTACAACAGTATAAATCTACTTGCGAAAGAAAGCCAAAACATCTTGAAAAATATTGCATTCACAGATCTGCAATGACTTCAAAAGAGCAAAATGCAGGGAAAAATTAATTTCAAAAGTGTAAAATCATGGATAATTAAACATTAAGAAAGCATGATTAGAGGAGGGTTGAATCAGCAGAACTGAGATTTTTGAGAGGAGTTAAGGGCTATAAATTAAGAGACCAAATACAATGTGAGAAAATAAGAGAGGAACAAGAGCAGAAAGAAACAGTACATGACGAAATTAAGAAGAACAGACAGCAATGGACGACCCATATTTGAAATATACCACAAATCGGTGGAAAGTGCAGGAAAACCTAAATTCCAAGAACATAAAAGCAGGGTAGTCTGTATATTTAAAACATTTTGATCACATTTTCAGAAAATAGTCAAATCTGGGTTCACACAGAATAGTGATTGTTTTGTGCCAAAATTTGTAAACATCCATTATTTCATTAGTCTTGAAGAATAAGTGGGATGAAATATCTTGGAAGTTTTCGATTTTTCATATAGTGTATACGTAGTACTCTTCGGTTGCAACTTTTCTACTCTTACTTTTATGCAATGTTATTTCAAGGCTTCAGCTTATATAAGTAATATTGATATCAAAACATTGAAAAAAAGGATACGAAGATCAACTGCAGGTGGAACAGAAAAACCAAAAGAATGTGCTGCCTTTTGCAAATCAAGAGTGTGCACGTCAAAAATTTGCTTCAATGAATGAGAATCATAAGCACGCACATACGACTTAAAAGCCTCCTTGGCCGCTTGATTTAAGAAGTAATTTTTGGATATGAGCTGCTCCAACTGAAAAAATTATAAAAACGAAATCAATTTACTTCAATTCCTATTTCACATACTTCAGTTGTATAAGTATATGTATAGTAATACCTGAAGTTGAATATCAGCAATCTTGTTCCATGAGAAATCAAATTCATTTAAAGGAACTCTGGCTTCCTTTAAGTATCGTAGAAAGCCAAGTTCTTCAGGACGAAGAATTAAAAGAGCGTGACCTCGACCTCCCTCACCTCTAGCTGTTCTTCCCACTCTATGAATATATTCCTGAAACAAATAAATGCAAATAGTAAAAACTTCGCAGCGGTTTATAACACATTTCAAAAAATCATGGTGTTTAAAATAGTCAAACATAGAGGAAAATAAAATCAGGAGCTACAACAGCACATATTTTCTTGCACTGTTTGTAATGGCTCACATTATTTGTAGCTTTATGCATACTAGCAAGGATAATTTCATATATAAATTGAACATCCAGAACTAAAGGCCATCCAATATATCAC